GAGTACCAGGGTCTTAACAGTCATTTACCACAGAAGACTTCATACCACCATTGGGGGAAAATCTAGACTGTTGCCAGCATTATGCACAGCTAATGGAACACCATTCAAAAGTGCTAGTGAATTGTGCCATTATTGTGTGCCTTCTTAAGTAAAGGTCTAAAGAAAATATTTATAAATGTGACTATTAGACTGATAAAATGTGGCACTTAAAAAAATACTGTTAATATTCTGTTACAATGCCTGATTTTTCCTCCAAATAAACCCGTATTTACTATTTTCAATTAATATGGTAGATGGATACTTTTCCCCACAAGACAGTAGAAAGGTGCAATTATTATCTACATCACAGGTCTTCTGTTATTAGTACCACGAAGCATCATGTGTTAGTTTGTATGAACAATGCCACATAAAATTAAGTCTTGATTTGCACACAAACCTTCTTGAACCCATGCCCTGCAAATATTTATGCAGGTGAGTAATTTTATTCCTGAGATTAATTTAATTTAGTTAACTGGGACTACTTAATTGAACAAGGTATTCTCGGGCAAAAATCAAGATTTAGTTTTCTGCAGTACCAAATAAATATAGGGTATGATTTCTCAGTGCTGAAGGTCAAGCCCCTATAGACAATCTTACCCAGATTTTTTGCCTTGAATATACCATCCATGCCCTGGGTGAATCACCATGTGGGTACCAGCTATTCATATTAATTCTAGACTGAAGTTGTTTCATAAGCATCCTTGGGGGTATGGGCATGGGGGAATACAAGGAAGAACAGATTCCTGGACAACTCTTCATTCCCTTGATTCTTCAAGGCTAGTGTTTGTCAGTGGAACTCACAGAGGGAGACAATCTTTCTTGGCTTAAATCTAAATAAAGCTTGTTTGAGTTGACTGCCTTTAATTTACCTAGGAAAGAAATTACAGGTGATCAGCCAGAGCTATGGTATGACAATTCTTGTTCAGAGGGACTTAATTGTACATGGTTTGGTAGGTTAGCAGACTATGACTATGGGTCAAGACCAGGATTTTCAAAGGAGTCTGAATGAGATTAGCTACTCCCGATGGAATTTGAACCCCCCCCTTTCCTTTGACAATCCAAGCTAAGATTCCTACAGTTCTAATTTAGGCTCACTCAAGCAAAATGCCCATTTCGGTCAATTTGCTGATTCCTAAAATTCTTCCTTGGCCAAAAGTCCCATTGAATTCTGTCTGAGTCAAAAAAGAAAACTGGGACAGGCCTTCAGGATTGGGCACCAGGGGAGTGTTACCTTCAGGAAATCGGCGGGGATTTGGGTTGTGCCCAGTACTTGCTCTTTTGCTTACAATTGCATTTTATCCTGTTGTGAGCTGCCTTCATCAGATGGGTGGGGCACTGTGCTAGAGTAGTGCTTGAAAATGCCTAAGAAACAAAAAGTCAGCTTCCATCAGCAGATGGAAAGGAAGGGACGGGCAGGGAGGGGAAGGCAAGCCCTCTCTCTAATCCCCCCCTCTCCTCCCACTCGTGCAGAAGACGACCCTGGTATTGCAAGTCTGGCGAGCAGAGGATGCGACTCACTGCTCCTGCTGTCTCACGTGCAGGCAAGTTTAATGCAAGGCGGAGGCATGTGAAATAGAAGCCTGATTAAAGATCCCCTCCCGACACAGACACACCCCAGCCTAACTCCTGTGCAAGCTGCAGCGCTCCCTCCTGCCCTCCTTCCCCCAGCCAGCCGCACCCACCTGGTCATTAAGGTTCTGTAGCGCCTCTTTGCCCGTGGCCGCCCGGATCTCCACCTTCCTCCCGAATTCAACAGCTGGCTCCCCGCCCTTCCTGGAGTAGGGGGAGTGGGGGTCCGCCCCCAGGTGGGCCACGTCTCTCTGCTGGGCCACCACCTTGCCGGAGCCGCGTCCCACCGACAGGGAATCGAAATCGATGGTCTTGTTCTCCAAGGAGCCTTCCACCGGGCAGAACATGCCGCAGAATTTCTGCCTTGGCTTGGGGCTGCCGGAGCCCAGGGCTCCCCGCCCTTCCTGGAGTAGGGGGAGTGGGGGTCCGCCCCCAGGTGGGCCACGTCTCTCTGCTGGGCCACCACCTTGCCGGAGCCGCGTCCCACCGACAGGGAATCGAAATCGATGGTCTTGTTCTCCAAGGAGCCTTCCACCGGGCAGAACATGCCGCAGAATTTCTGCCTTGGCTTGGGGCTGCCGGAGCCCAGGTTCTTGAAGAAGGCGGGCACCTCCTCGTCTTCGCCGGGCCGGCCGGCCGGCCGCCTCTCGGCCATGGCTCCCCCGCCAAGGACCAACACCCACCCCGGTC